CTGCATTTGTAAACTTATAAAACTCAAAGTGTATGAAGACTTCTTTTTGAAAAATGGTCTGGTACTATTATAAGCAGAATACACAAACAGAGAGAATTGTATAAATTCACAATGAAAGTACACTAGGCTCCATATTTTTAAATGAATGAAGTTGGAGAAAGAAACCATTGCCAGAATAATAATACTATGGTTCAAATGTAAGTTTTGTTTGTCAAAAATGACCTACCAGTGTTTATTGGCCAAATACTCTTTTCAGGTCTTTGACCCCCATCCCCAATGGCAGACATTTTCTGGTTTTAATTGTTGTGACTGTGATTTTGTCTTCTAAAGGTCAGAGAAGAATCTTTGCTTTGGACAAGCTTTGAAAGAATGAACAGACTAGATTTGCTTTAACTACTTATTAATTACAAATTGTATATATAAATTGTATATATGTAATTTTGAGGTCTTCAAGAGCATTTACAAAGGCCCCTGGAAGAAGAGTGACTCTTCTTGCTACTTTAGAATTTGTTTGCAGTAGTTATTGTTAACTTGCAATTTAATTAATGATTTGTATTGCCTGGGTTGAGGGAGTAATGAGTTAAGTTTTTAGTACATGTTATACTATGAGGATGAATAGTGAAAGTTTGCTCAAATACTTATAATTTATAAAAGAAAAAAGAGGAGTGGCTTGAATTTGCATTGTTTCAAAATAAGGCATGATTTTGCAATTTGATTTAACTCCTTGTCCTGCTAAAAAAGACTAAGAAGATATTGGAAATATCAAGGTACAAACCCTGAGCTCTGGAAGCCAAAGTTCCCTTTAGGATATATGTATAAACTAGTTTATAACATGAGGGGAAAAATATTCTTTTGTTTATAAACCTCACTGAATAAAATTTTGTCATTAGCCAGAACATGAAGGAGAATGCTAAAGTGCAGTTAGTGGTTCAAAATAGATACTATTTTGTATCTATCTAAATATATATATATATATTGATATAGTATATATTTGATATATATATTTATATATATAAATATATATATATTTGATATAGTATCTATCAAAATAGATACTATACGAAGTGATACTATAGCTCTGTGGTCCCCAACCCCTGGCCATAGACCAGTCAGTGGCCTGTTAGGAACTGGGCAGTATAGCAGAAGGTGAGTGGTGGGCAAGCCAGAAAAATTTCACCTGTATTTACAGCCAATCCCCATTGCTCACATCACTGCATAGGCTCTGCCTCCTGTCAGATCAGCTGAGGCATAGGATTAGATTTGCATAGAAGTGCTAATCCTACTGCAAACTATGCATGGGAGAGAGCTGGGTTTCATGCTCCTGATGAGACTCCAATGCCTGATGATCTGAGGTGCATCTGAGGCGGTGATGCTAGTGCTGGGGAGCGGCTACAAATACAGAGCCATTAGTAGAGAGTTTTGACTGCACAATAAATATAATGCTCTTGAATCATTTCAAAACCATCTGCCCTCACCCCCGGTCCCTGGAAAAATTGTCTTCCATGAAACTGGTCCCTGGTGCCAAAAAGGTTGGGGACCACTGCTATAGCTCAGTTCTTGAGAGCAATAAACTAAGAAGCTTCTTTGTGGTATATATGCAAAAGAAATATATTTTTATTTTTATTTATTTATTTATTTTTTATTGGCTACGTCTGTGAAAAGAAAATATATTTTTAAGAAGTGAAACATAATGTGCTATATTTGATTCGATTAACTGATTAAGAAAGGCCGACGCAGTTGCTTGCGCCTATAATCCTAGCACTCTGGGAGGCCGAGGAGGGAGGATTGCTCTAGGTCAGGAGTTCGAAACCAGCCTGAGCAAGAGCGAGACCCTGTCTCTACTATAAATAGAAGAGAAATTAATTGGCCAACTAAATAATAGAAAAAATTAGCCAGGCATGGTGGCGCACTGCCTGTAGTCCCAGCTACTTCCGGAGGTTCGAGGCAATAGGATCACTTGAGCCCAGGAGTGTGAGGTTGCTATGAGCTAGGCTGACGCCACGGCACTCACTCTAGCCTGGGCAACAGCTTTTTTTTTTTTTTTCTCTCAAAAAAAAAAAAAGAATTAAGAAAAAGTTGAAACCCTGATTTTTTCTTATCATAAAAAGTAGAGTCATAGGTATGTTACAGAAAACACAGAGAAACAAAGTAAACACATACATGTATATCATACATCTTTCAGTTTCTTTACATACATATACACTTACACCCCATTTTTAAAATAAAATAATGGGATCCAACTGTACTTAGTGTATATTAAATTGCTTTGCACTTAACATTTATATCACTAATCTCTTTCCACAATTTAAAATATCCAGCTATAAGATTTGTTTTAAAATCAATTTTTTTAAAGCAGCAAACTCTCTTATCTATTATGTAGTCAGGTTTTGCATCAGATTTTGAAGAAAGCGTAACTGATCTTATTCAACTAGAAAATGGACTATAGCCCACCAAATGGCAGTGCTGCAGCTCCAGGCCACTTGTACAAGTTTCTATAGCACATTACCCGACATCATTTCAAATGACTGCAGAGTACCCGACAATACTGCAGAGTATTCCCACATCATAATTTATCTAACATACCCACTCCACTATTGCTGAGCATCGTGTTGCTCCATGTATTTCTTTATCAAGTATAGCACTGCAAACAATGTCTTTGCAGGCCAATTGATGAGCGTGTCTATGATTGTTGGATGGGCAATTTCCTGAAAGTGGAATTTCTGGGTGAAAAGTTAGGTATTTTTAAAAAGTTTTTAATATGGATTGCCAAATTGTCTCCCAGCAAGGACTTTTAAAAAAAATCAATATACTGTCCCACGAATAATGTTCAAGAGTTCAGATTTTCAGGAACATTGTCAAAACTTCACGGGGGAGCTATAAAAAGGAGTGAGGAACTGATACATGCTACAATATGGACAAACCTTGAAAACGCTATGTTCAGGGAAAGAAGTTAGTCACAAAAGACCACATGTGTGATTTCATTTACATGAAATGTCCGAAATGGTCAAATTCATAGAGACAGAAAGTGGATTAGTGGTTGCCAGGGGCTGGGAGCGAATGGAGGCCAGGAGAGTGACTTCGAATGCATACAGGGTTTCTTTTGGGGGCAACAAAAATGTTCTAAAATTAGATAGTGGTGATGGTTGCACAACTCTGTGAATATACCAAAACCACTTACTTTATTGTATACTTTAAAATGATGACTTTTATTTCAATAAAGCTGTTATGAAAACACTTTATGGGAAAACTTCACCAAAGAAAGGAAAAATGGTAGCTGTGGTAGTTTGCCATTAGTTAGTAGGAATACTATACTTTCTTTTTCCATATGTATTGATTGTTTATATTTCCTCCGTGAGTTGCTTGTTGTTTCTCTCACTCTTTTCTCCTTAAGAGTATTCATTCTTTTCTTAATGATTTGTATTTTTCCTTACCAAGTAGATAATAATACCTACTTCTTAACATGTGCTTTTCTAAATACAAAGGGAAAGATCTTTAAAAAGTACTTATGCAATTTTTAATTCAATATTCTGGATATTGTGATAGCTATTTTATATCAATGAGAAGCTATAACAAAGTCTTAATACCTTAATTTAATTATAGAAATCCAATAATGTTGATAATCCTCTGGAAAATGAAAAGCAGAAGATATTGATTCTAGCTAAATTAGGTTTGCTGTTACAGGTAGTTGCAGTCTGCAGGTGCTGGCATTTGTTCAACCCCTAAATTTAATAAGATATTAAATGTAGCTCTGGAAGGAATTAAACTTGGCAAATGCCCTAACAATATATATTAGTTTATAATGCACTTTGGAAAATTAGCAAATACAGAAAACTATTGGTGACACTAAACAAAAGATGTGTAATTGGTTATTTTATGCAGTGACATTTGATTCAATACTTTAGAATGAGTTAATAAAGACTAAGAGCCGTGATTTTATTGCTGAGTAAAATAGTCATTGTGTAGAGTGAAAAATAAAAGAAAAAATAGCATTCTTTCAAAACATTATTTTGACATATTGAAATCCAAATTTTGAACTATATTTGGTGATTCTAAAACTCTAATGATTGTAGGAAACACCGCTAATGCTTGAGGAAAAAAATCAGCACTTCCACATTAAATGTCTGTATCAATTATAAAATTTATTATAATCTGAGAAATGCTAAATTGTGAAGAGTATGTCTTAGTATTGTGGATATGTGGTACTTCTATAACTTTTAATTTCAAGAGAATTGTGAATATTCAATTCCCAGGAGACTTTAGCTCCCTAAATGAAATTTGAATCCATTCATCTCTTAGGGTTTAAAAGTTTATTTTCAAGAGTGGAGTTCAGAAAATGGTTCATCACATGAAAATATTGGTTTTAACTAAGGAAAGAGTAGAACCACAGAAACCAGATTATAATCTATATTGTGATGTTTATTGCTAACTTTATTATCTGGCCAAACCAATGCCTCCAAATTCGATCCAAGAGCTAAACATAAATTACTGTTTGCAAGTCACTGTGCTAAGAGCTTCTGAAATGTAAAGCTGAGTAAGACTTTATTCATTGTTTCTGCCCTTGAGGAGCTTAATTAAATTGTTATTCTTTTTGTCTGGGAGGTTGAGGGAGGCTGAGGAGATAAGAACAGGAGAGTCTGGGGAAACTTTATTTCTGCTCCTTTTGACAGGTGAGAAGAGAGGTGATCTCTAGATAGTATGATTCAAGTTAGAGATCTAATGTACAACATGACACCTGTAATTACAGCATTGTATTGTACATTGGAAATTCTCTAAGAGAATACATTTTAAGTGCTCTTACCACACACAAGGAAAGGATAACTATGTGAGATGCTGGGTTTGTGAATTTGCTTGACAATACTAACCATTTCATGGTGCATATCAAAATATGTTGTGCACTTTAAATATATAGAATAAAAAAAAATAAAATTGCATGAAGCAGAAAGAGAAGCAGTAGGGCAGTTTGGGACTAGAGAAAGAGTACAGGGAAGAAGGCAAGGCAGGAAGTCGATGAAAACGGAAGAGCAAATGCTCTAGTAAGGAGAAGCTGGGAAGGGGCCGTGTGTGGACTTCTAGGTCAGGGGCAGTTCAACGATCTCTGATTCACATGAGAGCGGAGCCAGTCTTTGCAGTGGGAAAATTGATGATGCATCACAGCACAAACAAACAAGCTTCTCAAAGGATGGGTCACATGTCGAGAGAGCTGAAAAGCAAGAGCAGACAGGCTCTGGAGAAAGCCCAGTGAAGGATTTTCTGAAGAAGAGAGCCTGCTTCCTGGAAAGCAGTCAGGATTGTATAGAACCTTTGTAAGTAAACACATTTTTCAGCCTCAGTGAGAAACGTGTTTATGTAACACCTCTCATCTAAGGACCTAGGAATGTTTTACTGACATTTACATTCGTAGCTTGCTTGTATTCCATGAGGCAAGAATAAAATTGGAATGGTTTTACGATCTTTCCCTTGTCTTGCGGTCCCTATGAATTTATTTCCCTCAAGAGAGAGATAATCTGGACTCAAGGGTTATGTTAACAACAGAGAGAATGAGATTTTAGATCTGTTCTAATCCCAAATTGTAGAAAATGTTAGTCCACAAACAGGTTGGATGACTTTTAGCTTAGTCACATATCTAAAATGAGGAGAACACTGTTTGGAGACCGTGTGAGGTCATGCTGAAGGTCAATGAGATTGTATCTACGCTGCACTTTACAATTCTTAGATGTGGCACAGGATACTCATGCATAATTACTGCATAGCCTTAGTTTCTTACAGGACAAAAAACGAATGTGGAATAAAATGAGGCAGGAGTTTCTAAGACCCAAATTATATTCATTCTCTTTGGAAACAATGTTATGCAAGAGTTCCTGCATTTCTTCGGCCTGTTGATTTGCTTTTTCTTTTTAATTCTTCCTGTTATTTCTCAGAAGCAACTCTTCTTACAATTAACACAGGAGTTTTAACAAATGTTTTGGGAATTGGGATGTGAAAGTAAAAGATTAATAGTTAACAACATATATGCGCCTGGAAATACGTACACACAGTTTTTTTTTTCTTTTTGGCTTATGAATAATTCTTAACCTTTTTATAATAAATATGTATGTATTTCTAATTCCATCAACACTCTAAAGAAAAAATATTGAGATTGTCAGACAGGAAATTTCCAGGAAGAATGCATTTATAATTCTTTTAATGAATGAATGATCTTTCCTATGAAGAGCCTAATCTCATGTAGGAGAAACTTGCCATGTTAGAACACATTCTTGAGCTATCAGGACATCTGAAAACAACAGATGGTGCCAGAACAGTGGGAGACAGCAGACGAGATAAAACAGAGGGAGAGGAGGAGTAGGAAAGCACAAACATGGGAAACCCAGCTGGCAGCAGGCAAGCAGAGAGGTCCAAGTACATGCCCATAGGAGGCAATACGGACGTGGAACTTGACAGGATTTCCGAGGCAATTTAGTTCAAACCCTTACTTTTCTATGAGGAAATGGCAGCCCAGAGAGTTAAGAGATTTGCCAAGTCACAGAACTTGCTTTGTGTCTTAGCGTTGAATCTTCTAGTTCCCAGTCCAGCAACTGCTACCATGCAGCATGTGGGTCTCTGCCTGAGCTCAACTTGTGTCAAGAGCCCCTTCCCCATTCTAGCATTAAAAAACAATTCTGAATCATGTTCTTTTTTTTGTCTGAAACAATTGAGAAGAAACACAAGAAAAGTCTAAAAATGCTGTAAATGACAACATTGCCCAAATGGAAGGTAGATCTGTATAGCTTCATCCCTTTCCTTTATTTGTCCTGTGCTTGATGCTGCAGTCCCTTAGCAATGTCTCATTTTTGTCTCGTCGTGTTCTTTCAGTAGGAGGAAGCTCTTCATTGTGATTCAGTGTGGACTCTTATCACCTGGATTTGAATCCTGGACTGTAGAAATTTAGCTACTTAATGCCTTTGTGCTTCAATTTCCTTATCTGCAAAAGGAGCATGATAAAATATTACTGACCAGGAGTGGTGGCCAGGAGCGGTGGCTCACGCCTGTAATCCTAGCACTCTGGGAGGCTGAGGCGGGCGGGTTGCTCCAGTTCAGGAGTTCGAAACACATGCCTGATGCAAGAGTGAGGCCTGCTATTTACTAAATAGAAAGAAAATTAATGGCAACTATATATATAGAAAATTAGCCAGGCATGGTGCACATGCACTGTAGTCCCAGTTATTCGGGAGGCTGAGGCCAGTAGATTGCTTTTAGCGCGAGGAGTTTGAGGTTGCTATGAGCTAGGCTGATGCCACGGCACTCTAGCTTGGACAACAAAGCAAGACTCTGTCTCAAAAAAAAAAAAAAAATATTACTGACCTGTCTTACTTTGGGCTGCTATGACAGAGTACCATAGACTGGGTGACTTAGAAACAGCAGAAATTTATTTCTCACAGTTCTGGAGGCTGGAAGTCTGAGATCAGGGTGCCAGTGTGGAGGCAACCTTTTTCCAGGTTGCAGGCTGCCATCTTTGGAAAGAGAGCAAGAGAGCTCTCTGGGGCCCCTTTTGTAAGGGCACTAATCCCATTCATGAGGGCTCTACTCTCATGACCCCCCAAAGGGTCACCCCCCAAAGGTCTCACCTCCTAATACCATCACCTTGTGGGTTAGGATTTCAACATATGAATTTTGGGTGGTCACAAACATTCAATCTGCCTTCCATGGTGGTTGAGAATATGAAATGGTTTTAACTCAAGGAATATGCTTACTGCAGGGCTGACACATGGAGTACTGAATATGTATCAGTGATTATTATTTCAACCCTGACTCTTGGAATGCTGTTGCCTCTGCCACAAATGGTCAATTCATCTTTCACATCCCATCTCCTCTGGAAAGTTCTCCAGACTTCCACAGGCCAACTTAGATAGCTTCTTTACCCTCCTTTGAACTCATACATGTGTCCATAAGAGCAGTTATACCGAGCAGTGCAACAGAAAAAAAAAAATCATACTTATAAAATTTAAAAACTAAAATGACTTTGACCCACTTCTGCTTAAGGACTGTCATTGAATTTGGTACATCTGAATAGGAAAATAAATAAATATCCATGCATTTTTCCCTTGTAAAGCATCTTAGGATGAAAATTTCAAGAGCCCCGACAGATTTTCTGGGCTGCTAAAGAGTGGAGGTTCGTTGTTTGGCAGGGCTCTTTGTTTAAGGTCCTTGGATTTGCAGAGGTAGACCTGAGAGAGGTGGTAGTGGTTGTGATGGCAGGGAAGGGTTGGAGAGTTACATTGCTTTGCTTTTGGTGGTTACATTGAGGGGAGGAGCCTGTTTGCAAGAGTCTAGGATAAGGGGCAAATCAAAGGCTTTTGAGGTGGGTGGGATCTCAGCCACATTATGACACAAAACACAAATCTAGTGATGTCAGTTATATATATATATACACATATATATGTGTGTGTGTGTGTGTGTATATATATATATATGCCATGTATTAGTGATGTGAACATGTGAAAGAAGGAAAACGTCTCAGTTCTATGGCTGGGTTGGTGTTGAATGCTGGGTCCCCAGGTATCACTAACACAACCTGTTGATAACACAAGGCTGAGTATATGCTTTCCATGATCTCAGAGCACAACACCTCTCTAGAGCTTTGGTAATGTTTTTGGAGCAGGGAAAGCAAGGTCAGAATTTATTGAGAATTGGAAGTTTGGTTCAGTGCAAAGTATACACTGGACAATGAGAAAATATATAAATTGAACTAATTCAACCCAGGTAGGAACTCAGAGCTAGAGGTTGCTAGGAAACATGTAAGCCACCCCCAGAATTCTTGAAAGATTGGATGAAACATAGGTATGGGATTTAAGCCATTTAATCCCCAGCTTTCAGCAATAAGTCTTTCACCTCACCACTGGCAAAGGTCAACAATGGCTTTGGAATTATCACACCAGTGCACTCTTTTCAGGGATTCTCTGATTGCTACTACTGTTGCTCTGGCAGTAGCAGGAGACCCTCTGTCTTGCACCTGAACTCCTGCTATGGTCACCCATTGGTGACCCTTGGCCCTTACTTACCTCTCTAGCTTGTTCATGTGGTGAGCTCTGTTCCTTGACCCTGTGTTCCAACTGCACAGGACACCTCCAGCCCCTCTGCTCATAAAGTACCTTTCTAGACTTTCTTTCTGCCTGGCTAATGACACTGATCTTTCAGCACTCTGCTCAAATATCATATCTCTGCTATCTTTCCTTTCCTGACAGTACGCTGGTGAAGTCAGGGTGATATTTGAAATACTGAATTTATCAACTGGTAAAGTATAGGTATTAACCAGTCAAAATAGACACTGGATAGCAACAACCTGATATTCAATGTGATGTGTGTTGGCCAGAAGTAGATTTGACCACCCTTGTGTGATGTGCCCATCGAAACCAGCACACATATATTCTTGCACTTATCTGTACCTAAGGCCATCTTCCCTGCAAACTGTAAGCCTCATGGAAGGCATGGACCATATTTATTCATTTCTTTATCCCTAGAACCTAGCCGTAATATAGACACACAGTTTCTTAATGTTCATTGATACTAAAAGAAATATCAGAAACAGTTGATGAGCTTTAAAAAAAAAAGGCTATGCAAAAAACATTTTACCAACTGAGGGAAGTGAGTGTGACAGAGGGTAATTAACTTGCCTGTGTTCCCACAGCTAGTGTGTGGATGCAGAACCAAGATTGTTTAATTCAGACTTGAAGTCAGTGACTTTCTTGGGGGGAGGTAAGAGACAGTGGCTGTGAGGAGTGTGGGTCACCACTATCTACTCTCCCCAAAGCACTGTGGCATTCTGACCTAAAAATAATCGGGATCTGTCACTTATAGGTTCAGCCCACTCACTTCCTTCCTTCCTTCCTTCCTTCCTTCCTTCCTTCCTTCCTTCCTTCCTTCCTTCCTTCCTTCCTTCCTTCCTTCCTTCCTTCCGTCTTTCCTTCCTTTCTTAACTATTGTTTGAAAAAAATTTTAAGCAAAGTAATGCTTGGACATATGTTAAAGAAAAAGTAAATACATGCCAGGCGCAGTGGCTCATGCCTATAATCCTAGCACTCTGGGAGGCCGTGGCAGGTGGATCGCTCAAGGTCAGGAGTTTGAAACCAGTCTGAGCAAGAGCAAGACCCCATCTCTGCTAAAAAAATAGAAATAAATTAATTGGCCAACTAAAAATATATAGAAAAAATTAGCTGGGCATGGTGGCACGTGCCTGTAGTCCCAGCTACTCTGGGAGGATCACTTTAGCCCAGGAGTTTGAGGTTGCTGTGAGCTAGGCTGATGTCACGGCACTCTAGCCCTCTAGCCCAGGCAACAGAGTAAGACTCTGTTTCAAAAAAAAAAAAAAAAAAAGTAAATGCAGAAACTCAAAACAAATACCTGTACATCAATGTTCATAGCAGCATTATTCACAGTAGCCAAAAGGTGGAAATAACCCAAATGCCCATCAACAGATGAATAAATAAAATGTGTACATACAATGGAATGTTATTCTGCTATAAAAAGAAATGAAATTCTGATGTATGCTACAATACGGATGAACCTTGAAAACATTATGTGAAGTGAAATAAGCCAAACACAAAAGGACAAATGCTATATGATTCCACTTATATGAGGTACCTAGAATAGTCAAATTCATAGACACAGAAAGTAAAAGAGAGGTTACCAGGGCTGGGGGAAGGCAGGTATGGAGAGTTACTTAGTGGGTAAAAGCGTTGGTTTGGGATGATGAAAAGGTTCTGGAAATGAATAGAGGTGATGATTACACAAGGATATGAATGTACTGAACATCACTGAATTGTACACTTAAAATGGTAAATTTATGTATATATTTTTTACCACAATTAAAAAAAGTCAGTATATAAAGCATATAATCAAAGCCAGCAGCAGCCTTACAAGTACCTTTCCATCTTCCAGTTCCACTCTCTAGAGGTAACCACTGTTTGCACTGTTTTCTTTCTTGTATTCACCTTCGTATTTCTAAATATTTATATCTCTAATTCTTGATTTATTACTCTTTGACAAGATCTAATTATTTCCTGTACTGCAAATGAGGACTTAGCTCATACTCTGCCCCCTTTTTTTGAGCTGCATGTTCTTAGTACTGTTTCTCTGTATTCCTTTCTCCTGTGTATTTTGGAGGCTCTTTTTCATGTTGGAACTGGAATTCTGCTGCTAAAGGACCAGTATCACGTGTTCGTGGGGTGACCATTAGCCTCAGGTGCCCACTGAGTGCATACAGTCCAGGCCACTTTGTTTCCTACTGAGGACACTTGTCTCTGGTTGGACTGCAACGCTGTCCTGAATACGACTCACTTATCTGGAACCCTGGCAGGATGCCAAGCTCAGAGCAGTCCTCTTTCTTGCATGGATAAACTCTAACGGTTACATTTCCAACTGCTGCTTCTGGCTGGGGTCCTGCTGCTGACAGACTGATCTCTTAAACTCTGAGGCCACAGCCTGCATGACTTCAGTGGGTCCCACTGCCTAGCAATGTCTGCCGCCGAGTCTACTCTCCAGGAGTCCCCATGGATATGGACGGTAGAAATTAATAGGATCAAGGACAAGTTCACCATGTCCCTTTGTACCCTGTTATTAGGTTTATTGCTTATCTAGCCCTCACTTCCTTAGTGCTTTCTGCCTTCCCTTTGGGCTGTGACACTGAAGTTCCAAAATAGCTCACAGCCAAGGCTTCCTACATTTATGGCAGGGTAACCGTTGGAACCAAGCCAAAACAAAGCAAAGCAAAACAAAACACCATCCTTTTCCTGAGATTCAGGGGATAAAAATTAAGAACATGGGCTAGGTTTGGGAGGTAAAAATCATACATGCACAAGAGAACACCATGCCCTGAAAGTTGGGCTCCTGGAGGAAATCGTTGACTAGAATAGGACAAAAACAGGGAACAACTAGAAGAAAAAAATGGGCAGAAGTTCCAGATTTGAATCCTTGTTCTAATATCCTAGAACGCCATTTTTTTCCTCTGTAAAATAGTGATAATAATAATGTCTGTCATACTTTCCTCACAGGGTTACTATTATACTATGATATAAAGAGCAAATGAAATGATATATGTGAAAACATTGTAGCAGGTGTGAATCTCAGTCCTGAGTGTCAGAGAGCAAGAAATTCAACTTTACATTTTTATCGCAAGCCTCATTCTCTCTGATAGCAGAAACTTAATCGTAGTCATTTTGGAGTTCTCCTGCTTCCTTTCCTTTGGTCACACCTGAGTTCCTTGGGATTATGTGATGAAATGCATCAGATATTAACAAGCGTCTGAAGACCTACCATGTGCGAGACACTTAAGCAAATTAAAAAAAAAAAAAAGATTTGTTCTCTTCCGCAAAGAAGTATAGAGACCAGTACTTTGCTCCTCTTTTTTGATTTTATCTTAAATCCTTGATGATTCATCAAGACATCCAACTTCCTCTTGTAGGAAATTTCCCATGTTTTCCTTGCGGTCCGTGGGCTTCATAACTCTAGCGCATAAAGTGGAATGTGAATGGGGCTGCAGACTTGTGCAGTGCGTAACTTCATCAGTATATGTGATTAATTTGTTTGAGACCCGTTTTATTTTTTAATGCTCATTATACTCTTTATACATCCCAACAGAGATATAATCTTTTGATATACATCAGAAAACCTCACAAATATATTTGTGATTTATTAAGGCCGCCGTTATAGAGAAAGGAATATGCATTAACAAATAAAGTCATTCAGGAGTACTGTTTCCAGGGCTTGTGTTCTGTGGGTGACATTTGACATTCAATGAATGTACATTGAATGCATGAATGAATAAAAGGAAAAGAATAAAAAAGGAAGTGATGTGAAATTCATATCAGTTGACTCTGTTATTTGGTGATCTGATGGCAAGTGCTGGTTTTAAATGATTCATCCTATGCCTGTCTCCCTCTCCTCCCCATTGAAAAGTTGGCTTGCTTTTAGGGTAACTGCTCGGTTTGTTGTCTGAGATACATAACTACGCACTTCCTCTTCTGATCTGTTTTCCAGTCTGGACCACCTGCTTGGAACACCTTCCTGGCTTCTGCTCCCCAGATGCCTGTCCCAGGCCTCAGAGAGCTCTTGGAATTGGCCACTCCAGAGGGGTGAAGATGCCCTGGTGGTGGTGGTGGTGTTCCAGAAAGGGGCGGGGCCTGCAGAACAGCCAGAAGACGTCAATGTAGTGGTAAGATGAGCAGAGAGAGGCGCCCTGGGAATCTGAGGGGATTGGAGAGTGTAGGGGCAAGTCAGTGAGCAGAGGCTCTGTAATTTATTCCAAAGGTAACTGGGAATTTCCTGTAAGCACTTCCGGAAACAGCTGAGTTGTGTGGGATACTGTCCACTTCACTTCTTGCAAGTGAGACACCCGACTACAGCTGCTCTCTCTTTTCTTCTTGTCATTTGTCATGCCATTGATCTTCTAATTTGTACATGTCACTGTCTGGATAAAAACATCTCTAGTAGCCCTCCAGTCCCTAAGGGCTGTGTTCGTTGTGCATTCACAGCTCTGCTGAGCCTGGTCATTCCTAACCAGTGTGTTTTTATCTTCCTACAGAACACGTGGCTGCTGCCAATTTCCACAGCTATGTGCCTGGGCCTGCCAGGCAGAACTTTGCCTCCATGCCATTCTTCATGCTGTTAATCTACTGAAAACACCCTCTTCTCATTTCTCTACTTGCTACGTTTTCTCTTCTATTACAATTTCTTCTCAAGTTTTGTCTGCTCCCCAAATCTTGGTGATCGGTTTTCCCAGCCTGGTCATCTGATGGAACACCTTTGAACCGAACATCTTGCACCTGATGTGCTTCAGTATATCTATCTAAGTCCTGAAACCTCCTGTAATGACTTCCAAATTTTTGGAGTAAAAAGTTATTTTTTCTTATAATAAGAGTATCATATGCCTATTTTAGAAAAATTGGAAAATGAAGACAAGTGCAAAGAAGAAATTTTGAATCACCTTTAATTCCATCATTTTATAAGACCCCCCTCCTTCTCATGTAAGAACATTTCATGGATTGCCCACAAAATGTTTGCCTTTTTAGTATTTTGATTAAAAAGTTGTATAATGAACACAAAGCTACTATGATATCAGTAATGCTTTTAAATGAATTTATACTTTATTGTCATGATAATATTGCCATACATTTGAATGGTAATTCATATATAGCAAGGTATCTTGCCTGGATTTGAGTTTGGTAATACCCATTCCTAGGGTTCTCTGTGTGTTCTGAATAGATAAACTTTCTTCTTTTTTGTGGAATATTATGTCATTGAGCTAGAATTTGTAAACTCTAAAGAACTAGACATTTAAATATATACACCAATATAACATTTGCATATCCATGCATATATTCACAATCTTTTTATGGTCTGTGTATATGTATATTATGCCTGTCATTTATGTAATCTGTGCAAAAACCATGTGGCTGAACTACCAGTGAAGGTCAGTGTTTCCCAGCTGGCCAATGGTTGCATCAGAATTACACAGAAACTCTTGACTTTTTTGCATGCCTAGCACTAGAGTAGCCGAGGACTGTTAAAAAAAAAAAAAAAAAAAAAAACTTAGTGTTTTTAGCAAGGAATGTCTTGCATGCTAAAAGGGTTTTATTCTGTTTCCCTTTGTCCCTGGCAAGCTGTGCAGCACTGCTCAAAATGCCTCTTTTCGGTGAAGTTGGGCTTGTAGCCAGCTTAATCTCTCCATGGCAACTCTCTGTGGACAGGCTGAGCAAGAGGCAGCAGTACCCAGGCATCAGGTCTATCTGAGGCATCCGAGGGAGCTGACGTCCAAGGAAAACAGGCACTATGGCTCTGATGCTTTCCTTGAAGTGGAGGGGAGACCCCCATGGAATAGTAAAGATGAAGCTTCAGTGAAAATGCAACCTAAACTTTGACTTTGGGGCCATGATAACCCATAACAAAAATGCTGCTCCAGGTTCACCAGGTTTGATTACGTTCTGGGGTTGTGTAGATTAATTTGAATACCAGTAGGATAACAAAATAGTTACAGTTATTAAAATAAAAGTCTGCCAATATGTCTCCCCTTCTAGAGCCTACTGGAGTGTGGATAACAGTAAGAATAAGCAAGTGAGAAAGTCAGAGAAGATAAATGTAAAGTGGTGATTATGGGAAGGTGGTCTGTAAAGCTAATAAAAAAGAATTTAGTCTATTTCCTTATAGAACTTCCTTCTTTCAGATTTTCCCATTGCATAAATTGCCCAAGAGGATTAAACTAATCACTGTTAAAGTTTCAACATATTCAATCTGTGAAGTTACTATTGATGCCGTAAGGAATAGCCTGCTAAATTGTTAAGTGCCTATGGCCAAAAAAATAATAATGAAGCTACTAAAGGCTTTTAACATTATAATAAATAGCACACATATATACTTGGAGGATCTGTTTAATCAATGCCAGTTTACCTTCTCTACTAGAAATGATTCTGGGTTTTTGAGACAAAGGAGGAGACAATGGAAATCACCAAGAACAAGCTATTTTTCACCTCTTCTTCCTCTGGATACCACTTGAGTAACTCAATGCTTCCAAAAGTTTGTTCCAGAGAAAATGAGTTTCACAAGATGATCCTTGAAAAATGTTTCCTTAATCAAGTATGTTTGGGAAATGCCATATACTATATCCCTGTCTTGGGAATTTATAATACTTATGATATTAATATTAACTACCTCAATATTAATTAATATTTAATATTAATAGTTAATATTAATATTAACTACCTCAAACATTTCCTAGTTTAAAGAAATCATGTTTAACTTTGTTTAGCAGCTAATTTCCAAAACTTATGTAATGAAATAATATTAAATATATTTTCAGATGTTTTTCCATATCTTCAGGGGAAGGGTGATATATACTAGAATGATAAAGGCATTACTCAGTTTTTACTGTTAAATAACATTTGCTTTTGGACCTTAGAAAGGTAATAGACTTGAGCAGTAGACTTTGTTGAAAGTTGGGATTACTACAGGCCATAGGTAGAGACACCTAAAGAGATGGTGTGAGGTAGTCCTGGCCTTAGGGAAGAAAGCCTGGCTTTTCTGGATGGGGGAGTGGGAAAAACACAGGTGAAGGAAAGAGGAACAGATGGTCATATGTGTGTGCAATGGCTTCACTTTTAGGCTCGGATCTTGTGGTGGAGGATTGCTAGATAGAGAGGTGGTGAAGAAAAGTCAAAGGAGAGGGTCTTTTGCCCCATTTCCTCGTCAGAATTCTGGGAGAACATGGCTACACTGACTGCACTGACTGCAGGGGTAGCATCAGAGTAAAAATGGCACTGTGGAATGTTTGGGCAGCCTGAGAGACTAACTTAGCAATTTTGAACCTCTTTTAGTTCTAAAATGGCATAGAAAGGTCCCAGGAAGTTTTGTAAGACCAATGAGAGGGAGGAAAGTGGCTAAGTAGAGAGCCAGCAGGCCTACTGCTGAAGATGAGGGAGGCAGGCTGCAGAAGAAGGTGGCCCATCTCAAAGGCCAAGGCAGGACACTGTCCAGCTAGGGGTCCTAGTGAGGACACGGTGGGGGGCAGTCTCAGAGTTACCTTCACCACTAATGAGAGTGAGGTGAGGCTGAGTCAGTAAGGAAAGACCCCTGGGTCCTGCCTAAGCCAGGATGCCGGGTCTTGCATTGACCAGCTGCAGACATCCTCAGTGGCTACTATCAGCCTGACCAGTGCTCAGGCAGACGAGGGACACTGCTGAGAAGATCAGAGAACCTAGAAGACAATAATAGAACCTCCTGTTGTTCACTGCCATAAGGCATGTAAAGAGTGGTGTGCTGCTAAAAGTCTCAAAAAAATTTTCTGACTTAGAGCATATGGCAACTTCTGTGGAATAAATATACCATGCCTGATTTCAAGCTATCAACATGTCTCTGAACACAGAGTTGGGAAGAGACGTGCATAACCATCTCAGACTTCACGTGAACCCTGGTTTTTCATATAACTTACACATGGATGCCAAGTTAAGAAGGGACAGGGGGAGGAAATAAAAGTGTGAAAGACTCAGATACAAAGTCTGAATAGGCTGGTTAATGCTATTACTCTTCCATCCTTGCTCCTCCAAGCTACTTAGTTGAGAGGAAGCTTATAAAAAGTTATGTTGGAAAAACAAATCTATATTTCCTTTGCACATCCATGTGTAAAATTTTTTTCACCCACCCCATTATTTGAGCACAGACCTGTTTTACTCCCTGTGTTACCAGTTTATGAATTATTACTCCAACTACTCTTTATTTATCCTTCATTGAGTTCTCTTCTATCTATAAATTTGGTTACTCTTTAGCTCAGGTTTTCTTTCTCTTTTCTTGGGTCTCTATTACTGGTGTTCAACCATATGTTTTATTTTTTATACAGTTGTGAGCCTAGATCTCCAGTCTGGCATCACCTCTCATCTCAGCCAAATTATCTCCTATACATTTCTCTTGGTTCTCTGTCATCCAATCAAACCGGTATGTTCAGAGTCAAATATGGTGTCTTTACCCCTCTCAAATCAGTCTCCACTTTCCTAACTTAATTTTTTCACTACTCTTGGAATATTTGTTCCTTCCTTTCACACTCACTTACTTCTAAGCAATGTGTCTCTCACAATTTTACCCTTATTTTCCATTCCCGTTGCCTCAGCCCTAGTTTAAACATTCATGACCCAACACCTAAGTAATCATAATACAGTCTGTGTATAATGATTTTTATTTTACTTAAAAGCATATCTTTTGTAAATAATTAAAATAGTTTATCCTAAAAAGTAGAAAATATGGTTAAGCCAAAGCCAAAACCAAAACCAAACAAAAAAGCCAAAAATAAACTCTGACATCTCACTGCCCAGACATAATAACACTGTTTGTTAATCTCTTGGTCAATCTTAGTCCAGGTATTCTGAACACGCACACATACATGTGTGCATGTGTGTGTGTGTATGTATGTGTGTGTGTTTGAGAGAGAGAATATATCAATCGCATATAAAATATAATCCACATAACCCAACCATGGGATTATGTTGTACAAACTATAGTTCACCAGCTTTTCAATTTAACAATATGACTATTTTTCATGTTAAACATGCATTTTATAAACATGGGATTATAATATGCATATTATATTTAACCTTTTAAATTTAATAATATAGATAATATAGTGTGAATATTTTTATATCAAATATACACTTAAAATTTTAACGTAATATCCCACTAAATGGCTGTACCATACTTTATTTATTAACTCTTCATTAATGACCATTGAGCTGTTTCCAGTTTTGCACTATGAGACAATAAACGTAAATATTTGTGTAGGTACTATTTTGTGGGTGATGGAATTACAGGTTTTTTTTTATGCTTAGGCTAAATTTTTAGTTTGCACACATATGTACAGCACACCTCATAGCATGGGATGGAGTCAAGGGTGGGAAGAGACTGATGGCAAGCCCTGGGCTGCAGACTTGGCTGTGGCATCAGGGGCCAGGCTCCATGCCGCTGTGTTCCAGCATGGACCACAGAAGAGTATGAGAATTGAAATCCAAACCCAGCCTTTCATGTCCTCATGAGGTTATATTTTAAAAGGGTTAAAAAAAAAAGAAAGAAAGAAAACAATTGGAACCTAGAGGTTGCCTATTCTGGGCTTGAACACTTGTGATAGCAAGAACTCATAATTTTTCCAAAACTCCCAATTCTGTTTGTGCCTGTCCTTAACATTTGCAGGGCTCAAGGTAAGAGGCTCACATACCATGTACCTAAATATTTACAATACATCCTTCAAGCTAAAAGACAATTTCCTTCTACTCTTGGCTCCATCCCATGCCAGAGGGTACCTTGCATGTATGTATGTGGACATCTTGGCCAACAAGTCTGTGTTCTGTATATTTCCAAGGGGAATATACAGGCCTGGGTGTACAGATTGGCTTACATTAGAAAGGAGACCAGGAGAAGTGACTTGAGGGTACACACAAAGAGGAGACTATTTCCAACTGGTGGGATAGTTTCATGAAAGAAGGGCATTTAAACTAGTGTCTCCCACAAGTGAAAAGGGGAAGAAGGAGAAAGTTTGCATGGAGTGTGGGCAGAAGCAAAGGAATGGGTG